TGCTTGTGTGGTGGTGTGCGGGTTGATTGTGGTGTACTGAGACCTATGCGGAAGTCTCGGATGGTGGTTGCCCTGAGTATCTGGGCAGAGTCTCCCCTATACTGGTTGGGAGTGTTGCGTGCTGGCTGCGTAAGGCTGCGAGTGCCTGTCTTCTAGACCCCGTATTAAACACACCCTGTGGTATGTCAAGTGACGTGTCTTCCTGGCTGTAGACCCCGTATTAAACACACCCTGAGTGGTGCGTCAAGTGACGTGTCTGTTCTGGCTCTAGACCCCGTATTAAACACACCCTGAGTGGCGTGTCAAGTGACGTGTCTGCTGTGGACCCCGTGTCAACGTGCCCTACGGTGGCGTGTTGAGTGACGTGTCGTGCTTCTGTCTTCGTACCAGTAGTTGTCGTAAAGTTCCTGGTGAACCCCAACTAGTCTGGCAGCTTCAGTGTTCTCGTGTGCGTGTCTTCTTCGTCCGAGGTCAGTAGCTGTCGTAAAACTCCCGGCTGGAGCCCAACTATCCTGACGAGTCCTGTCCTGTGTGCGTGCGTCTCCTGTGTTCTCGTGGCACCAGTAGTTGTCGCAAGGTTTCGGTAAACCTCAACTAATCTGATGGCTTCTGGCTGTCCGTGGGTGCGAATGCGAGGGTCAGCAGTTGTTGGAAGGTTCCAGCGAACCCCAACTGATCTGACTGAGTGGCGTGGGTGCTAGTAGTTGACTGAAGGTTCCAGATGAACCCCAACTCATCTAGCCTGGCGGCTGGGTGTGATGGTGGGTTGTGGTGGTGAGGGGAGTGGTGAAGAGAGTGGTGAAGTGGTGGTAGGGATACTAAAGTGTGGGTGGGTCACTTTAGGAAGATTCCGAGAATGAATGCTTGCTTCGGATCCCCTTCCTCAGCCCAGTATTTATACCTGGAGCCAAGGGGCGCGGGAATCCTAAATGGTACATTACAAAGCAGGTCTGTAGTACGACTAATCCATGTCCAGAATATTCTCCCTTATTCTCCTACTTTCCCTTCATTCCTAGTCCTTTCCTTCTCCTTTATCCATCCTTTTCCTGAGCCTGTCAGGGATTTCCAGAACATTCTAAGAACCTTCCCCACATATTCTTGATGTTTCCCAGGAGTTCTGAATGGTTTCCAGGGAATTCTTGAAGGGGAACACTGAGTATTCCAGTGGTTTCCACAATATTCCGCAATGTTCCGCAA